AGGCCACGGCTGCTTCTCTGCCTTCTGCACCCAAAGCCTGGCCATAGAAGTGCGTCGGGTCCAGTGCTTTCTCCAGCTACTTGGTGGCTTTAAAAGGGAAACACGAGTCCGAAAAGTGTCTTTCATGCAACATGTTCATTCAAGTGAGACACACTACACTGCTTGTGCAACAAGGCTCATAGCTTGGAAGTCGGGCCACTCGTTCTCCTCACTCGAGACATGCAAACGCCGTTGGCGGCGAAGGGGTCGGCACATGCCGGAGGATCGTGAATGTCTTCTTGATCTCCGCACTCATCGTGCCGAACTCGTCCTGCAGGCGCAGCATGCTCTCCCTCGTGCACTGACGAAACCAGCTGGCGGTTGACCGATATAGCATCTTGTTAGGCGGTTTGCCCAATGGTCATCCCATGTAAAGACCTTTTGCTCAACCCCTAGCAAAATCCAATATGTTCTACAAATCCCTGTTGCTCACAAGCGTACGAGTCAAGAGAAGACATTGAAGCACCAGCACGGCAAGAGGGTTCTTTGGCTTGCCTTTCGCCAGGCGCTCTCGACCCCAAAACCGAAAAAAGGCGACGTCCGTCGACCCACCGGAAGATCGATCCGAGGCTGCAGCGCCCGACGGCGATGCCATCACCGGGCTGATATCCCCTAGGATCCTAGGAACAAAACCACAACTCTCGCCAGATCACAACTGGGAACTCTCCCCTCCCAAAACAGTCATCACGCAGCCGCAGCACGCTCGTTTTCTCTACTTGGATCCTTCTCCTGCAAGTTGTGAACACCACACCGTCCGGTTCACCACGGTTGCCAAGACTCGCCCCTTGAAACAAACCACAAACCCCAAAGGGCATATCCCCGGACAGTAAATACGCATTTCCCCCGAAGGACATGGAAAAATGTAGGTCCCCCAAGATTGTCGCATGCTCATGTGAGCCGTCAAAATGACTGGTTCAACTCCGAGCAAAATTGGGCTTCCCCTTTTTTGTTGCTTGCAAGTTCGATTTCGTCCCATACGGCCATGGGTCAAAAGCCCGTACCCCCGGTGAACATCCCAATCCCCACTAAAATAGAAAATGGGTGGTACACCTACCGCAAAATGGGATCCCAATTGGTTTTGACAACCACAGCCATATCCCAGGACCAAGCTGGCTCTACCAAACCTTCAGCCTCCGTTCCTGGGAACTCAGCCGGACCATCGGGGAGCTCCGCTCAGCTAAGGCTGCTAAGGGAGCCTGGCCGTCCAACCCCTGGTATGGTAGCAAAAGAACACGTCGTTTTTGGCAGCCCCCTACTAAAAATGAACAGAACCAAAAACCTGAAAGCATGCCGGCAGCAGTGAAGAGAAAAACCTGAAACTCAAAAATTGGACAGCGCCCCAAAATGGGGGGGTGTCAAACCCGATTGAGAGACCTCTCAGAGAGTCATCGTAGTTTCCTTGTGGCTTTCTTTTGGAAGTAGCCAAAAGGGCCTCCCTCAGTTTGACAATTCCCTCACCCCACGTTTGGACGGGTGTTCCAGTCGAAAACAACAGATTGTCTCCACCCTAAACCAGTCGGCACGCATCAGCTCGCTTCAATTGGGCCGCAAATTGCCAACAATGGAGACTATGTCAGTTCCGACAAGGTAGTACATCGCATGAATGGGATAAGAAGAAGGAACAACCAGCTGGGTTCTTCACGTGTTGACAAGACATGACGAGGTCCGAATCAGCAAGCACGAGCAGGGAGACAAGTGAGGGAACCCAGCGGGGAGACAGCAGAGTTACCGGGGCCAAGCCGTGCGCGAGTAGCACCACAAGGACCCAAAGTGGCCAACCTCCCCACAATTTCTGCGGCCCACCCCCTGGCCCCAAGATCCTGTCCAACGGGCCTTGAACTTTTCGGAGCTCAGTCCGGCTGCATAATTTGAGACGTGCCCAACCAGCAACCCACCCACGCCAAGCAAGACGCGTCAGACAAACCAGCCTTGTCTCAACCTGGCGTGCTCACATGTCTGAGGCTAGTCTTGGGCCCAGCCCGGCCCATGACATCAATTGGTCCTACGACGCCAGAACCTGTCCATGCCTGAATCGCCGCTTGACCAGCTCTGCTGCTTGCAGTCGAACCACAGACGCTGCGCGCTCGGCTTGGCCGAGGCGGGCAACGCGCAGCGTTTGCAATTAATTGAAATACTTCGAGACAAGGCAAAAAGAGTAGTTCCACAAAAAGCACAAACGCACACGCGCAAATGGTGCGTTTAGAGTGGCAAAGCAAAGGCCTGCGTCCACACGATTCACTTGAAGGTGTTCAAAGGGGGAGTTGGACTCAAAAATGATCGACGGTTTCAAGAGGACATGGGTCTCTCTGGTTTTGGTTGACATTTGGGTCCCTCTTTTATCCTCCCCTAGCTAACAATGGACTACCAAATGTTTCTTTCTCGTTTGAGCCAGGGTCCCAAACTCCTTTGGGCTATGGTCATGGCGCCCGATCAAAACGGAATCCTTGTATTGGTGTTCGAACCCCCAAGAGGACCCACGACCATCTCTGGTGTCCCCAAGTAAAGCAAGTAAAGCGGCGCTTTGATCTCTCAATCCTTACGAGACTGTGGAACCCTAAATTGAGGCGTGGGTTTCGGCAAAAGAACATGTTGGCAGGCCACGCTTCAAACTGCAACTGCCTCCTGACTCCTTCGCATACACCGCACTCAAGCCACCCCATCGCAGGCCAAGCCAAGAACCTGCTTCAAAGTGTGCAGCTTGCCCGAAACACTAAGCCAAACAAGCTACTTAGTTGGAACAGCCGACTCCTGAAACAGAACATACCAAGCTCCAAAGCCCAGCTTGAAAAGAACACATGCGTGCCTAGTAGACTTGAACCCAACCCCATGCAAAGTATGCTCCTCAAGCAACGGTTGGAGTGAGTTCACAAACAGAACGCATCACAGTAAAGCAAGGGTTTGCACGACACACCACTTTGTAAAAAGTCGGTGAAATCACAGCTTGAAAACTGTGCGAACTACACCAAACCAAACAGATCCATAGTCAGACTCAGAACAACAAACTCCTCAAGTTAAACCAGCAGAAACCAAAGCAAGTTGCACCGGCACAATCGCAAAAAGGCGAATCGAGTTTGCCGGCTGGCCTAGCACTAACAATTAAGTGCCTGTCCAGTTGCTTTGAATAGTCTTAGTTGTCCTGCCAAAAATCGCCCCAAAAGGGCTAATGAGCTAGACCCATGAGCTTTCTTCGTCTGATGTGCACTCTGTCCCCCAGTGCAAATGCCAACATGACTGCACTCACAAGCATCGGTGAGTCTTCTCAGCCACCCCAGCCTCCCGCCCGTCGAAGAGGGGCGCCGTTCCTGGCGATGACACTTTCCGGCCTTCTCACTCCACACAAGTCACACCAAACACCACAACCCTAGACCCTAGCGAACCGGCAAAAGCAGTCAGGCGAAACCAGCCTGGCAGCCGGCTCTGGCTTGCCTTGCCGCAAAACGAGAGAGATCACACCACCCCTGCTCAAAACTTCACGTGGCCGTGCCGGTTTCGTTTTCGAGGGAATGGCAACGGGACGCGCAGGTTTTGCTCTGAGAAAGCTTCTACGATGCTCGATTCTCTCCTGTGAACACCCACCTGCCCTTTAGAAGCCTCCAGGTATCTCGGACGAGTTTCTATGTTGTTCCAAGCCAGACACCTCGAAAGGTTCCTCTGTTTAAGACAAAAACTACAACATACTTTAGTCATTTCATTAGCACAGTTTGCAAGAGCGAGGTTCCCGATTGGCTCATTCCTTGGATCTGGCACCAAAGGCCAGATCCCGAAATATGGCATTCAAGTAGAAGCCCCTCAGAAACCATGTCCTGGAAAAATCCAAAGATTTAACCTACACCAAAGAGCTTATGCTCCATGCACGGGGGGAATGAATGGTCAACCATACCTCGTTCGGAATGGTCAAACACAAAAAACCAGCTCCCCTCCCGGAGGTGCTAAGTCGCGGCCATCTCAAGAAGTCGCAAAGTTAGGTCGGATCAGTCAAGATTATACCAAGCTCAGTACACAAAGAGTGGTGCCTAAAAACCCGGTCAGCCCACAAACATGTCACGACCCCACAGACGCCACCCCAGCCTCCCGCCCGTCGAAGAGGGGCGCCGTTCCTGGCAATGTGGCCTTCTCACTCACCAAACACCATAACCGCAGGCCCTAGCGAACGACTGGCAAACGACAGGCGAAACCAGCCTGGCAGCCGGCTCTGGCTTGCCTTGCCGCAAAACGAGAGAGATCACTCCCCGGGATTGGCTTCCCGGGGAATGGAATCACGCGCAACTTTGAGTTCTGCGATCCTGCTCGTTCTCTCCCTCTTCGAACATCGAAACCTATCTCAGAGTTTCTATCTTAGTTCCAGCCGGCCCGAACCTGCGGTCCGACAGGAGAACTGGCACCCACTTCCAAATGGTCCACCAGTAGTCGAAGGTGATTTCTTTAGGGTCCCTTTGGCGGACATCATTTTGGCGGGACATCATGTGCAACCATTTTCGGAGACGTTCCTCTAGCTTTCAGAGTGATGGTGAGATTCCCGATTGGCTCGGGTTCCAAGCTTCACAAAGTTTCCGCTCCAACTTGGCTCTGGCACCGAAAGCCAGATTCCGAAATGGGTATATAATGAAAGAGATTCTTGGAGTACCTCGCTCGAGCACCGAATTCCTCCATTCCGGGCTGGATTCGAGAATTTGCTTGTATACGAATGGAAGGCACAACTGCATGCGTTGGAGAACAGGTGCACAAATACCTGCAAAGGTGCCACTTTGCTGTTCATCAATGAAGCCCACCGCGCGGTCAAATGTTGCGCTCAACCAACGTCTCGCTGTGGAGAGTTTCAAAGCCGGCACACTCAGCAAAGTCCTGCATCAGCTTCACGTAATCGGCCTTCGAGGCCTTGATCTTGGCACCACCTTTCACCAAAGAAAACTCCCCCCTGCCTGCCAGCCGGTCGAAGTCTTCTTCAGGGTGCGGCACATATCTCAAGGTGTACTGGTTTTCGCCGATCCAGAATTGAGTGATGCCTTGGAACTCTGAGTGGAAAGGCGGCTTTGGAGACAGAGGTCTGCAGTGATGAGGGACCGATCAAAGAAAAGATCGTAAGGGTCTGCGTCGCTGTTCTCGAAAAGCTTGCCACTCAGAATGACAGAGGAGATCATCAAATATCGGAAACCTTCTTCGTCCACGGCCCAAGGGTAAGGGACGTCACTGTTGCCAACCGGGGATAAATACTTGGTAATGGGTGACTTTGCTGTAAAGGAGAACACTTTCTCTCCAACAAAGACATACTTCAAGCCCCCCAAGTGCAGCAACATGGAGTTTCCATCAAAGCCAGCGCCATGCTTTGGGCTCTCCCCGACAAAGACCCTCTCCGCATCAAAGGAGGCGCAGGCAACTTCTGCATAGTTTGCCCACACCTCCTCATCGTCATCATCGTCATCATCGTCATCATAGATCGCCTTGAAGACTTGCACCTGGGCCTTTTCACCATGCTGCACTGAGACCCTGAAGGGCCGGCCACCGTTGTCGTGGATCAGGTATACACCACATGTTCGCACGCCATCTCCAATAGCTGGGCGCTTCTTAGGAGGCATCAGAACCAGGGTGCAACTAATAGTTAATAAAGACAAAGAGCTTGAGCGCTTGAATCAAAATGGCCTGAACATCCGAGAGAACCCCTTAGTACAACCCGCCCTGGTGCATATCAGATCTGCTAAGAACCCGGCCAGCACACAAACATGTCACCCCGACACTCCAAAGACGTCCCACCACCTGCCACCCCAGCCTCCCTCCCGTCGAAGAGGGGCGCTGTTCCTGGCACTGTGGCCACGCTGCTTAGCGGCCTTCTCACTCCACACAAGTCACACCAAACACCACAACCCTAGGCCCAACAACTGGCAAACGACAGGCGAAACCAGCCTGGCAGCCGGCTCTGGCTTGCCTTGGCGCGATTCCCGGGAAAGCTTCTGGACAATCCGCGAGCGAGCAGGGACAGCTACGTTCATATGGGTGTGTCTTAAAATACGGGGACCTCCAAACTGAGCTGTTTCCTTCTGGGTTCCCCTTAAACCAACCCCAAAAGGGCTTCCCTTCTTGTGAACCCCATCCATCTTGCGATTCCTCCCCCCAGGCGCCGCACATCAAAGGAACTGCCAAAGGCATCCCCAAAGTCCGCAAGCGGCCTGACAACACGCTATGGACCTTTCCTCAAGGACTCTAAAAACCGTACTGGTGAAGTGAAAACACCCAGTCATAATTGCAATTTGCTGTGGCACTGTGTCTTCTGAAAGACAAAACTTTGATGTTGCGCATCTGAAAGCAAAGCAGCCTGCCTCATGCTTGTGCCAGGCAAGGTGGTTGCTGAGTCAAAAGCCATGGACGCGGCTTGTAGCGGCGCGCCTACATCGATTGCCTGCAAGATTTGTCCAACATACATTTGACTAGATTGCTCACTTGGCAACTTGCATAGCTTTGCCTATAAATGTATGTTGCCACATGCCCCAAAAGAATTTGTCCAAACACAATCAGGAACTCAACTCCATGGTGAGTTTGATGCGCTGAAAGCCTGCATGAAACCGCCATAACACTCCTCAAACCAAACTCACCCTTCCACAGAATGCAGCAGCATCGGCTTTAGTTCAGCTTGGTTTGGCAACTCATTCAAACGCACCAAAAGCATCGCATTCATGAAGGTTCCTCATACACATGGGATGCAACTGAAGACGCGGAAAGCGCGTCCTTCATGAGAAACGAGGAAGCACTTGCTCGGTAGCCAGGCGAACAAAACAGAGAAAGGAATGCAATAGCAACCCTCTACTGGTAGGAACATGTGGGTGTGTCTAGGGGACCCCTATTAAATGGTTGGTTCCCTTTTCTTTCTTTTCAAACCCTGCCAAGAAACGATGCACGGTAGAAACCAGTTCACTGCTTCAAGCCTATAAAGGACATGTCAGGAACACAGAAGCATACAGAAGCGACAGACAAGCGCGCAGCTTCATTTTTCCTATGCGTTGCTCTCAGGTGCAGGCTCTGGGATGCAGAGGAATCAACAAGCGTGCTCAACTCATGTCTTTTGCATCCCAGGCGGAACCTGTTATGATACTCCCACTTTGATGATGATGATGATGATGATGATCCACAGCGTCCCGCATCCGCGGGCTCACTGCATTCAATGGCTCGCCATCGCGCCATGCGAGGCGCTGGCGGCCCGCCACACGCGTGGGCCGGTCAGGCTTGCCATCGCGCCATGCGAGGTGCTGGCAGCTCGAATTTGCAAGGAAGCAAACACAAACCTTTCTGCCCATGTCTGCAATGCCAACCAAGAAACAGGATGGCTTGCCATCGCGCCAAGGTGCCGGCAACATGAGTTTGCTTTACTTGCTGTCCATAACAAAGTCAACTGCAGAGCCTTGATGAACCAACCATCTAAGCGTGGCATACTCAAACAGGCTGGTGCGGGAAATTCCTTAATTCGTTTGGTCACGCAACACGCAAAGCCGCGTGTGCTTGTGGAAGCGGCCAGGCCAGCAGCGTCACCAAAATGCTACGCCTGGCTTCGCCAAAAATAATCTGCTCAATTTGCTGCGGTGCACCAAACGCCCCATTTGCCATGTTTGGTTCAGTACCCCCATCCGGACTTGGCTATCCGGGAAATTTCATCACCCCCTCCAATGCTTTTAGATTTCGAATCCTTCGCAGGACGAGGTCGTTTCCTGGACGGAAGAGTGTGCGAAGGATTCGAAATCTAAAACGCTGCGTGCAGGCGTGTGGCTGCAACATAACGACCCCTAGATATGCGCCGCAATTTGCCTCCAGGTTGCATTTCAAGCAAGGTCAAGCTTTGCCAAAGGAAACCCCTTTTCCCTGTTTTTCGGGACCCCTTGTTTTTAGGACCCCTTTTTTGTTTTTTTTCTCTCAGCCCTGCAAAGGTTGGCTTGCTTGAAATGCAACCTGGAGGCAAATTGCAAGCATATCTAGGGGTCGTTATGTTGCAGCCACACGCCTGCACGCAGCGTTTTATATTTCGAATCCTTCGCAGGACGAGGTCGTTTCCTGGACGGACGAGTGTCAGGAGCCTACCAAGTGGAATAGAATCCGTTTGGGAAACTCCCTCTAAAGAGAGAGCCACCCAGTCCGAACTAGTTGCAAACTTTGCGGGGGGGGCTGCCGCTCCCCAACTTCCCCGCTCATATTTTTAGCAATCCTGCTCCGACCTGTCCGCGCTGGGGGCGCAGCAACTACTTCAAAGAAGCTCCAACACGTGCGAGCTGGTTCCAGCCCCCTTCTTGTGGGGGGGGCTGCCGCCCCCTTCAACCCCCCGCCCTGTTTTTCGGCCGCACCTCCGCTCCGCCTCCGCTGTCCCGCCTCTGGCGGCGTCTGCGCTCCACTCGCCTCCGCTCCGCCTCCGCTGCGCCTCCGTTCCGCCTGCGCTCCGCCTTCGCTGAGCCGGAGCGGAGGCCGCAGCGGAGCCGTTGGTTCCAGCTTCAAGCAGCCCTAATGCCTTGCAATTGTGCTGGGCATCAGCCCTTGCCAAGCACATCCACTACAGTTGAAAACAAAAATCGCTTTTCGGCACAAGCCCCCTGCATTGCTGCAGTTGCCATGCCTCGAGCATGGCACACACGTACAGGCACCTCTCTCTCTCTTTAGAGGGAGTTTCCCAAACGGATTCTATTCCACCTGGTAGGCTCCTGACACTCGTCCGTCCAGGAAACGACCAACATAACGACCCCTAGATATGCTTGCAATTTGCCTCCAGGTTGCATTTCAAGCAAGCCAACCTTTGCAAGGCTAAGAAAAAACCCAAAAAATGGAAAAAAACAAAAGTCCCAAAAAAAGGGGTCCCAAAAAAAGGGAAAAGGGGTTTCCTTTGGCAAACTTGACCTTGCTTGAAATGCAACCTGGCAGCAAATTGCGCATGTCTAGGGGCCGTCTTTTTCCCAGTCCGGATCACGTATCGGAAATACGACACCTGCTCCGGACTTCAGGATTGAGCTTCCCGCCCGAAGCCGCACAGCCGGCCTCGCTCCAAAACCCAAGCCGCCCAGCCGGCCTCGCTCCAAAACCGAAGCCGCCCAGCTGGCCTCGCTCCAAAACCGAAGCCGCCCAGCCGGCGGCCTCGCTCCAAAACCGAAGCCGGCCTCGCTCCAAAACCGAAGCCGCCTCGCTTGCCGACCGAAGCCGCGCAGCCGGCCTCGCTCCAAGACCGAACCCGCCCAGCTGGCCTCGCTCCAAAACCAAAGCCGCCCAGCCGGCCTCGCTTTCAGGTCGTGAAAAGCACAGGTGTTGCTTGCGCTTTCAAGGCCACCCACGGACTGTGTCACGGGGTGACACGTACTTGCGGAAACTTGTCCCACCGCCCTCTCTTCCTGGATCCAGGGAAGCGCAAAGAGGCAGGAAGCCGGCAGACCTTGAGAGTTTTCCGAAGCCTCTTCCAGGGCCGACTTCGCGCCACTCCTAAGGAAACATGTTTGAAAGAGCTGTTACCGGCGACGTCCTGGACAACGGAGAGGTAACGGACGGCACGCACGTCACCGCAGGGCAGCTGGCCCTCGCTCTGACGCCCTACGCTCAAGTGGCAGACCTGGCCGTGAACACGGCAGCCTCCGACAACAACGCAGCAGCCATCCAGTCCCTGGACGACCGGGTCACCGCAGAGCTGGCCTCGAAGCTGGACAGCAGCGCACTGGCGCCGGCCATCGCGCCTCTGGCCACGGCAGCAGCCCTGGCAACCACGGACGGGCAGGTGGCCGCGCAGATGAACTCGCTAAGCAAATGATTGCAGTTGCCGTCCATGAAAACATGTGTGTTGTCCATGACAACGCCGCTGCTTTTGCTACATTCTGCCAGTTGTTCAAATGCTGTTTCATACAAATGAACCAAACTGTGGTCTTCATGAGCATCTTCATGATCTGAGCCATCATGCAAGAAAACTGTTCAACCATGTGAACATTCGCCTCATCATCTGTTTCTTCCATGGAGAAAATCGTCAAATCGTACTGTTCCAAACCGTCATCCAATGATGTTGAACAACATTGGAAACCTGGCGAACAGTCCGATACGTGGTTGCAGACGACAAAGATGGCACGGGTGTCTGCCTGGTTGAAGACAACTCGTTGCTGTTGCTATGCTGTTGGCTGCACCGGTTGGTCATTCTGCTCACCATCAATCTGCTGTTCTGCACGCCTGATGCCCTGTTGCTGGTCACGTTGAAGCTGCCAGCAATCTCGTCGCCAGTGTCCTGGCTTGCCGCAATGCAAACAATTGTTGTTGTCGCCGCCTTTCCTTTTTCTTCGTGGCCTTTTCCATCCTTTCCTTTTCCTTTCCCTTTGCTCTTGCCGCCTTTGTTTCTTTTGCCTTTGTCGCTTTTCCTTCCTCCTTTGTACTCAGACACGATCAATCTCCATGTCGGCAACACCCTTCTTGTTTGAATCAGGACCAAATGCGGCTGACAAAGGATTCTGCCACTTCGTGTGCGATGCATCCCATCTCGCAATGACTGACCTTTCCTGCCACACCCAACGAAGATGTTGCTGAATGCCGGATACGATGCATTGAATAGCCAAATGCTTGATCTTCCCCTTTCATGAAGAAC